CATCCAAAATAAAAATAAACAGAATATCAGAATGAGATGATTTGATACCACCATATACACAACATGAATTCATGTTGAGCTTCCCTGTTCTTACCCACAAAAACAGTCAGAGGGCAAGGAAAGATGCTCCCATCTCATTCTGGAAACTGAAACATGTATTTGAGACCAACCCACCCCCCTCCCTTTGGAAAAAGGCCTCCAGCCATTGCAGTGCCCACCTGACTGGACACCTGAGTGGACACCCAGACTGGTCTACACATTCTCTCAAGTGGCTGAAAATTACATGACCTCCTTCACAGCCACCTCACCCAGCCGTGAAGCTCCATTTCAGAGACTTACAGAGTGACATTTTCAGACTTCCAACAAAACAGAAATGCAGAACACATCAGGTTCTCATTCTCATCAACTTTGTCAGAGGACGTATTTGACCTAGGGCTCACCACTGAATGCTCTGACTAATCCATCTGTAAAGGCTGGGGACCAGCAAAAACTGGAGCTCACAAGAAATCTCATGAAGCCAAGATTTATATACACTCCTTACTCTTGGGTACGCAACAAAACAACCAAGAAAACCCCAAACCAAAATAATAAAAAACAAACAAAAGTCCCAAACAAACAAAAAACAAAAACCAACCCACACACATACACACAAAAAAAGAAAAAACAAAAAACAAAACTAGGATTATCCTAGTCTTCTGGAGCATCTTTCCATTAGCAAGATCACATCTGTTTGAGATAGCCTACTAGCACCAAAAATAGGCTGCTTCCTTCTTGACAAGAAGCCACCTAAAAATGGTGCCCCCCGATAGTTTAGGTAAGTGCCAGTCCTCAATGAGAGGCCAATTTTAAAGTAATACTTTTGAAAGTTCTGTGCTTCAAGAGGGACCATCAATGCATGGCACCAGGCTAACCTACCACAAATCCAAGCAGAGCACACACACCTGACTTGACATTGCAATCCTGTTCTTGTTATATGTGCATGCCCTGGTGAGATACAAAATTTATTTACATTTTCATGTCTTTGTTGCATTAAAATGATCCCTCTTCTGTCTGGAAAATCATAAGCTGGCTGCAGTACAGGAGCAAGATTTTACTTTTGGTCGAAGTTACCACCCATAAGCTCCCACTCCCACCCCACCCCCAAAAAGCACCCCAAAATTGTTTACATTTAGTACCTGCCAGTCAGATGTAAGCTATGTGGCTCACAGAGACCAAGCTCTTGAGTTTGTACTCTAGTGCAGCATTTGCTACAATTATGGAGTCACTGCTGACAAAAAGAAGAAAAACATCCCAAACACAAAAACCTTTCAATCTTGTAAAATTTTTGTCAGGAGGCACCTGGGTTCTATTTATGATCATCAAGGAAAGGGATGGCTAGTCCATCTTGTGATTCCAAACTATTTTACTCCAATTCAAAAAAAGGGTAAAAATGGGGAGAAATTAAGACAATTAAATCCTGCCTCAAAGGAAAGCAAGCGTGGTGTGAGAGTGCAGCATCTGTATATGCAATGAATGACTGAGCAAAAGGGATTGTATTCACCCAGGTGCCTCCTGACAGTGGTGGTTAACAGGCTAAAAGGGATTTTTAAAAGGGTAATTTTTTGATTTGTCTCACTCCTTTTGCCTGTAGATCAGGCCAAACATCAAGCATGTTGGGAGGGGCACAATTTAAAGCAACACTACTTGACCAGAAAGCATTTTTCAGCGATATACAATGCAAAATGACAGACAAAAACTCATGGCAAACCAGAGTAGATGGCAAGCAGTTTCCTGTAGCTTCTGACATTAAGGGGTTTGCCCTTACCTGCTCACAGTTCTGCACAGAGGCCACTCTGGTCAGAAAATGCAGTGCTGCAGGAAGTGAATCAATTCCACAAAGCTCCAGAACTGTCAGTTTATGCATGTAAATTGGTTTTTTACGGTCTCTCAAACCCAAATCCACACCTTACATGTATACTGCTCAGCGACACCCACTGGATTTCCCTTACACCATGGTGGAACACAGGTCATGGACTCCTTCAGAGCTTGTCAAGTTCCTGAAGTTTCTAAGGGGAAACATCAAAGAGCATCTCCCAAAAGGCTGAGCTATGGATTTGGAGGCCTTGGAGCCCCACAAGTGATCTCTTCCATATGAGCAGTACAGGACTGTTGCTAGCACGAGAGCAAATCCACCTTGACAAGGGACACTTGCAGTGGCCTGCAGTTCATAGAGGTCAGAGCACTTCTCATTGTCTAGTGTTGCAGAAAACTGAGCCCCTCTCATCTTTAGCTGCTCCCATAATCAGTCTAATCCCTTTAACCTCAGCAACCTTCATCATAAAAGGAAAAGTTATATATGAACCCAAAGAGGAAAAAAAAAATCATATTTACAAAGTTTGTACAATATACACATCTGATTTTCTATGGGACACACTGCACCAGAAGAAAGAGGGCCATGGCTCTGAAACAAGTCTACCTATCAAGTGCTGTAACTACTAATGAAGACTCATGGAAACCAGTCTTTAGTGTTCTGCTAGAGCACAGGGCTTTTCTTATGGCTCCTGCAAAGGATCACAGCCTACTCTTTCCTTCTGGAGCTATGATGCTGCACCTAATCAGCCCAGATTTTACGTTGGTTTCATTTTAAATACAGATATTTACATTTTAGGTGAACTGCAGATGCATATCAACTCCTCCAATAAAAAAAAATTAGTAAAAAAAAAAAAAAAAAAAAAAAAAAAAAAGTTGATGAAAGTTGTATTACCAATAATCAATATATTTCACCTCCCAGCCCTGGGCTTGAGTACATGGGAAGGAGGAGAAGGGGAAGAGAGGGGAACTTTGACCTGAAACCAAAAACATATGTTGATTCCTTGGGCTGTGTCAGAAAGGTGATATTCTGAATGGTCTCATAGCATAAGGCACTTTGCACGAATAAGTAACAAGCTCTGTAGCTTAAAAAACAGATGAGTAACCAGGGAGAAGTTGAAATGCACTCAGTCAATGGTTAAAGAATTTGAAATAGCAGACAAGCTCGTGTTCATCAAGATTCTTCTCTTTTCAGGGTTTCTCTTCTTCCCTTGCTGTCCCTCCCGCCCAAAGAAAACAAAACTTAAAATCAGCAGTTAGTGCAACTAATGTTCAATCAGCACACAGTGCAAACAAGTGGAAAAACAAAAAGACATTCCTCCTTTTATCTTCTTTCGTCCTTGCTGCCAAATTTAAAGAGAAAAAAAGGCTGAGCTCTTTAGTCTTCATAGTTCCAAAATGAAAAGATGAAGAAAAACCCACAAAGAGAAGGGTATCCCCAAAGAAACGATGTGTCACAGATCTGGATCATAGGGCTTCACCTTCTGGCATGTGTAATCAAAGCCTAAAAAAAAAATAAAACAAAACAACAACAAAACTACCAAAACCAAAACCCACCAAAACCAACCAACCCCCCTCAACAACCAAAAAAAAAAACAAAACCAAAAAAAACCAAAAAAAAACCCCAGGAAAAAAAAAAACAGGAAAAAAGCAATAAAATAACCAACCACAACATCAACAGTTAAATCGGTTCCATACAAAACCAGAACACAAAGTGATGAATCACATACACTAACTATGCAACAGCTCTCAAAAGGCAAAGGACATATTGAGCAGCTCAATCACAATTTCAGCTTTGTAGAAAGAGGTGCTGCTAAGGCCCTTCTGTACCTACGGAACATCACTACCTCCTGGTTTCTTACATTTTAGGAAACAGCAAACTGCTCTCTGGCAAGGTCCCAGTATTCCCCTTAGGAATACCACCCAAAAGCCTGTTTCATATTCATTACCTGTTTTGTATTCTATTTATTTATAAACACTGAGATGGTTCAACCATTAAAGCAGAAGCTTTCAAGCCAGCTTGGTGTGGCTATATAGGATATCTAGGGCTATCCTTAGATGATTTCTAAGAAGGAACCATAGGTTAATTTTAAAGCTATCAAGCAGTCTGCCTCTACAGCCACTTCTTTAGTTTTGGTCATCTGAAAAGAATTTCAGCAGCTTCACTGGTATTGTCTTTCTAACTCCTGACCTCTGAGAAGAGTACACATAAAAATGATTTTTAGCCCAAACTGCAGTGATGGATCTTGCATGACAACATCTTAATTGAGATCAGATCGTCATCCTGCAGCCATTTAGCTTGAGGGCAAGTCATCCTCCTGTAAGAGGACTTAACTCAGCAGCTTTTCCTGAGACAGTGATCAGAAAGGGAGCACTTAGATTAGGTCTCCAACACTGAAACCTCATTTTCTTCTGAAACTATGTAGACCTCAAGTGGCAACAAAGATGAATTACAGCTTCACCCCCTATTTTGTTCACTTCCAAGAATTCTATGAACCAAAGGATACAAAAGAGGCAGGGCATTTTGCTTGAACCTGGTCCTTCTGGATGGTGATGTGCTTACTCTTCTACTGATGCTGTTCTCACCACCGTCCATTTTATCTCCTCACCTTTTGGAGGACTACTTTCCTCTATGCCCCTCACCAATTTCTCATTTCAGCTTGGCAATACAGACAGAATTCATTAGGCTACTAGTAGTCCATCCTGGCCTCTCCCAACACCATTCCCCACTCCCTTTTCCCCATTTTTGGCCTCCTTAGCATATGGTCAGCATTTCAGTTAAAACAACTAAAAAAATACTCATCTCTCCCCTCCCACCTTCAGCACATCCATTGAATTCCATCCATTCTATTTCAAAGCCTTGCTTTCAGAGCTTTTTCATCACATCAGCTTCCCTCTTTCCCTGAGGTAACACTGACAACATTCCTGTTATTCAACACAGCACTGTTCACCAAGGCACTTACATACCTACATGTTTACTGTTTCTCATCTTCTACAGGTTCACTGTGGTATTCTGCCACATACAAGCTCTTGTCAATGTTGCTTGGTATGGGTTTAATTTCAGTTCCCAACTGCTCCTCAATACTTTTCAGGTTGAATCGATCATCATAGGTGATCAAGTTGATGGCCAGGCCAAGATGACCAAAGCGACCTTGATAAAAAAACAAAAACACACACCTGAACTGGACTGAGTTAACATAGGGACTGACAGAAAAGAAGTCTGCAGAAGGTGAAGTTAGTATCATTCTGTGATGTGAAAAACAAATCCAGCCACAGGTCTCTACACTTTTCACATCAGTTTTTGGAAAGAAGTTTTGTAGCGCTGTAGGAGTAAGAAAACTCAGGAGATTCAAAACGCTCTGACCAAAGCTCCAGGATAATTACCAACAAAAAGTCTTTGAGAGTTCTTGAACAAACCTGAACTACAAAGTTCAACTACACTGAGTTCCTTTGTTTATTGCCTATCCTCAGGGCGTATTTTGCTGATTCCCAGACAGTAGAAATGTAGCTCAAAACACATGCAGAAGAAAGCACAAATCTCTAGGCTTGAGACACTCTGAAGCTGAGAATTTTCCCCAAACTGCAAAAAGGAGCAATAGTAAGTCTCCTGAGATAAAAGCAAGATATGCCTTTTTTAATTTTTATTAGATTCTCAGGCCAGTTTTAAGGTAACAGCCCTTTATTCAGATAATCTTCTCAGTGAAGCTAGCCATATAAAACGATACCCAAAAATAAATTTGTCAGAAGAATCAAAACTATCTAAGGTTATTCTCAAGAACTGTAATAAAAAAAAACAAAAGCCAATTCAAGGCTAAAAAGCATCAGCAATGTTGCACCTAAAACAGGTTTTTCCTCTCACCTGATCTGCCAATTCGATGGAGATAAGTTTCTGCCAGCTTTGGGAAATCAAAGTTTATCACCACATTCACAGCCTGGATATCAATACCTCGGGTAAACAGATCTGAAAGACAAACCAGATCACAAAGAAAGTTAATTTCAATGAGCTCAAACACTGACAGTGTTTACGGTGTAAAGAGCAACAGTGCTTAACACTGCTTTACGAGATAAGCTTTCCTTGTATTAAAGACAATTTACATACAATCCTGTTACAGCTTCCTCTTGCTCTGTATACATTACAAACATGAATAATGTAAGAACAACAACCAAAACCACCAGATTTGCACATCTACACATAAAAACCCCCACAAAGCTATTTTTTTCCATGTTACACTATTTTGGAGCCGTTCCACTTACACATCTCTTCACACAGAATTGTGCACTGCCAGTGTCACAACAGACTTGAGATCTGAACTACATTCCACCACCTCAACTACTTCTATTCTGATTCTAGCAATTTTTCTTAAGATGGCCCAGACATATGTAGTGATAGCAGACACTGCCCGGTACTGCCTAAACAGGCCGTACAACAAAGAACTCAGATCATACACAGGCCAGTCAAAACTACAGAAGTATTCAGAAAAAGTGAATTCAGCAAAACTTCACATGATCATAGCCACAGCTCTACTGATATATCCAAGTTTACAACCCAACAAATCAGGGAACCTTCACGTGTGAAAATAAACAGAAAACACTAGTGCAGTAAAATGATTTGTTGGCAAGCTGCACTTTCACAAAAGATGAAACTCCATGTGCTGCACCTTGCCACATGCAGGCTTGACAAAGACATCTTATCAAAACATCCTGTTTCAGTTTATTACGGTTAACACATGTACAATACCTGGGCTAATGCACTTTTTATCACAAACTTTAGAAACAGGAAAACGTTTAGGACCTCTTACCAGTGCAAACAAGATTGCGGCACAAGCCATTTCGGAAATCATGGAATACACGATTGCGATGTTCCTGGAAATACATACACATAAACAAAGAGAAACAAAAAACCAAAACCCACAAACCAACCAGCTGTTACTTTCAGGTGTATTCAGGTACAGGAACACTCAACTTCAATCCTGTAAATTTCTCCTCCTCATTAGAGTACAGCTGAGTTGAAACAAGATGCCAGTACATATTTTTTAGCACTCCTTACCATATATTCTAAAGAACTAACTCTACAGGGTCTCAATCCCACTTCTCAACAAAGACAATTACCCGACTGCATTTTAAAATATCCTATGGTGGCATCAAAACCATCTCAGAAAAGTACTATCTAAAGGTAGTTACATGAAATCACATCAAGGAAGTTAAACTGATATTTTGAGTGTTGTCTTACTCCAGCCTCGCCCTTGACAAATTTCACATATCCATTAAAAACTGAAGCTGGCAGTAACTTCCTTTTCCTGTATGAAGCGTTTTTCACTATCGATTCAGAATTAGGGGTGTGATGAGTCAATTTTCTGTGAAGACTCTCCTCTCACACACACCTCATTTTGGGCCACACAAAGATTAAGTAATATCACTGTTAAGTGAAATTTAGAGAGGGAGTGAACAAGCTGAAGCATTCTGCAAAAATACAGCTGCACTTTGCCAAAAGATCATCTACTGACTGATCAAAAGTGTACAAAAATCAGACATCAAGGAACATGCTTCTATACCTCTTGTTTCTCAGTAACACCACCATTTCTGTTTCTGCTCAAATTAATTACTGCTCTGCATCTGGCCCAGCAACCATTGGCATTGCCTGCCAGCTGCGTGAGCAGCAAGCTAGACTAGTTTACATATAAAATTAAAAATATGTTTCAAAGTACTCCTGTTCTACATGCATCACTTCAGCCTCCTGACATGTTTTAATAGTGTGAAGCTAGAGGGGGTATGAGCTACTGTACAATTAGCAGAAACCTCCTGCACCATAAAAGCTGCAATGGCATTTTTCACTAGCTACACCACGACCACAAGTCCACCACAACCAGACACAACCCACAGCTTTCACCAAAAGGTTTGATCCAACCCACCTCCTCAACTTCCCAGATTCCCTTGCAGTCACAGTGCAAGATTACTGTTTGCAAAGCCACACAGGGCACTCAGTGGGCTACATATTGGGGTTTTTGTAATTTAATTCAGGCCCATTTTCATCTGAGTTAGTAACAGTGTATGCTCTACCCTGGCTCCCCATGCTGTCAAGCAAGGTAGCAGCCCTGAGAACTGTGCCTTTTGGCTGCAGTTTGTGCTTACACTGGGACTAATTATCCTGACCTGAAGCAGTCAAATACCAACTGGCCTTATACACTGAACAGTCTGGAAAGACGGCTGGGATGGGGGAAGGTTGGCAGTGGGGATCTAAAACGAAACCTATAGCAAAGCAATACATATCTCAGGTTATGAAGAACATGCAAACTTAAAGCATGAGACTTAATTCAGCTATTCAGTAAAGCCTGGGGTGAGGTGGAACATACTTCATACTCACCTGCCTCATTTTAGCATGGATATAGAAGCAGGAATAGCCCAGCTGGGAGATCTTTTTGGCTAGCAATTCAACCCGTTGAGAGGAGTTGCAGAAAATGATCGACTGGTTAATCTGGAGCTGAATGTACAAAAAGTGTTCTTAATAAATGCAGCATTTTACTAACAGAGGATCCCAGATTTTAGATGTCTAAATCCCTTCCAGAAAGAAAGCACAGCAGGTAGGCTGCTGGTAATTTACATCAGATATACTTTTGTGTAGGAAGGAAAATAATTAAGAAAGTTCTACAACACAGAGATGCTGGGCAAGAAGCATGCATTTTTAACCTCAGATATATAACACATTTTGACAATGAAAAATTTTCATTAGGCTGCCTTTGAAACACTCAGTCTTATTCTTGGTTCCAAGAGGGAATAAGCTTCTGGTATGTTCCTGATACAGCCCTACTCCTTACCCTGGAAAAGAGTGTATTGAGGCAGTGCACTTTCTGACGCTCAGTGACATAGGCATAGTACTGAGTAACTCCCTTCAAGGTCAGCTCCTCCATCAGATTAATCTCGTAGGGTTTCTGCAAATGGGAATTCTGAAAAAGAAAGACACTGATAAAGCAGGCAGATCTATGTGCAAAACAATGTAAGCAGTTCCCACTAAACACCACACTTAACTTCCTCCAAGGCAAGGATGCACTACTTAGCCACTCACTCTTCATGCTATGCTGAAAACAGGGTGGGTAAATTTTTGCAAATGATTACTTATAAATCCAAGGTGACTGAGCAGGCCAAACAGCAGCACACTCCACAAGCAAATCCACACAGATGATGTAAGTAATACACAAAGTGGAAAACAGCACCTTACAGACAAAAAACTGCACATACCTAGCTTCCCATTAATGCAACTGCAGGTCCAAAACTGCTTTCAAACTTCTGTCCTAGACTTTGGCTGATTTAGATTAAACTTGTGAAGTTTAGATGTATTTAAAAAACCAAACACTAACAGCTATGCACCACTCGTTCGCATCCTTCCTGTGCCATGTCACCACCATCACCATAACTACATGGATGCATCTCCACTCACCATGAACTTCTGCACACTCAAAGGAAAAGTGGCTGAGTAGAGCAAAATCTGTCTGTTTTTAGGTAGCGTGAGAATAATGTCTTCCATTATTTGAACAAAATCTTGGGATAGCAACTTATCTGCCTGTAACAACGGAAGTAATAATCAGCAAGTTAAAATAATGGTGTAAGATTTTACTCTTTTGGCAGCTATACATTTGGGGGAAGGAAAAATAAACAGTTACCAGGGTTTCTACCAGAGTCATCCAAGAGCTTTCACGCAACTATATTCTCTCTCACTCAGAAGCTTGTGCACTAGTGGATGTTCATAAATCAATTTTATATACAATTTTATTACGTGGTAAGAACAGCTGCCTCATTATAAACAGAAACCAAATAAAATGCATTCCTTTGTTGCAGAATATACTGTTATTCTACTATTCTGCATCAGCAAAGACAGGAAAGGTAAATCTTAGGCTGTTTTCTTAAAAGATTTACATGCAAAAAATTCCTACTCTCAAAACAGTTTCACGGAGGAAAACAGAGAAGCTCTTACAATGTCTCTAAGCAAGTTTGAATCTCTGCTGTGCACCAGGACATTCACTGAGACATATCATTCCTTTAACTTGGTGTTAAAATCCCAGAACATTTAACATAAGCAACTTGCCTCATCCAATACTATCATCTGGACATGCTCAACTTTTGCTACTCCTTTCTTGATGAGATCGAGAATTCTCCCAGGGGTAGCTATCACCACATGCACTGTACAGTTAGAAGAGAAAAAAAAAAAAAAAAAAAAAAAAAAAAAAAAAAAGAGAGAGAGAAACAAAAAAAACCCACAATGTAAAACTGCGTTTCCTTCCAGCATTCATGGCCATGTTTCATATGAACACTTTGGAAGAAGGACAAGAGTATAGGAACAGCAAACAAGACATTGTAGTCTCTTCTGTAACAGGCAAACAGTAACAAGCAGAAATTCCATTATCACATTGTAAAAGCCACAAAGAAACAGCAACCTTAGTGTAGCTAAAGTGCTCTGACCTGTATCATCAAGTCTCATTATGTCATCTCGCAAATTGGTTCCTCCCGTAGTTGCCATCACTTTGGCACCTCCCATGTGTTTGCTGACTTGGATACAGATTTGACTGACCTGCAGGGCTAGTTCACGGGTGGGAACAATCACCATTGCTACAAGTTAAAAACATCACTGTGAGTTACTTGTAACAACCTGTATCTTAAATACTCATGCTCACAGGAGACAGAAACTTTATGAAGTAAAATAATGAAAAGCATAGTTTAGGAATTCCACTATGGGTATCTTGAACAAGATACTGCTTTTGACAAGACAAATTCCATGCAAGGGTTCTCCAGCTCTTGATGCTGCCATTGCACAAGTATCCCAGCCAGTATGCTTGCTTATTATTCCACACCCACTTTCCAGGGCAAGACAGAAAAGTCTACAAGCCTTCTTCTATTTAAACCTTTTGAAAGCAACTGTGGGACCTTGCAAATTACACCTCCCCTCCATCACACCCCATTAGCCTTCTCTGAAAGTAAAAGCAGTTATTCTACACTGCCCAATTTCATTAACCAGTTTTAGATTCAAGTCTCTTATGTAGTGACTGACACCATTACCTGGCTGCAGCTAAGTGAGATCCATCTCAACTGACCTTGTATATTGTCCTTCTTTAAGTCTAGCCGTTCAAGTAAAGGAATGAGGTAGGCTCCACTCTTGCCTGTTCCATTTTTTGCTCTAGCCAAGATATCCCTACCAGATAAAGCAATGGGGATGCTCTCCTCCTGAAATGAAAGGACAGAAAGTGCATGAGCAATTAATCATAACCCATGCTTCACTGAAGAGGCTGACCAGATCTAATTACCCTCACTAACAGTATCACATGAAATCTGACTGTTTCATGACCATTATTATTACTATCCTGCAAATACAAGCAGGACAGACTCACAACAGGAAAAAGTTAAACCCACCAGTAAAGAGTTCCCCAATACACTTAGAAGTTTTTATCTTGCCTGATCATAAGAAAGGGATCAGGTACCATAGATAGAACCATACTGAAACATAGGGAAAAAGTGAAAACTTAGGGGGGGAAAAAAAAGTGAAGGGACAATGACAGTCACTAGCAAACTCCTCCTATGGAAGAAGATTCCCACCTATGTCTGAACATCAAAACCACCTCAGCCCATGTGATTCTGATGTCTATACTCCTGTAATATGCTTCTCATAAAATCTTCAGCCATCCAAACACAGGCCCTATGTATTTTTAGTTTTACTACCTTTTTCAGCAACATCTAAAGAAATCTCAGCCTTTTAGAAAGGTAGCATCATGAGAATCTGTTTATAAACAAAGCAAGCCATAGTTTTTGCATGCCTTAAAGAGACAAGGTGGCAGAGCTGTGTGAGTGATAAACCTTGAAAGACCAACTAAAAGAGAGTTCAACCTTCTGTCCTACAAGCCTTAAAAGTAAAAGTAACAAGGACATACAGAAAAGGAAACTTGCTAAGATATAAATCTCTCTCCCACAATCTTCCTAACTCTTCTTCCACAAGATTACAATAAAAAGAGCCAACACTGTGATAAACTCATAATTACATTTTTAACAACTGAAGGTACACAGCCAATGGTAACTCAGTTTCGGAAAATGTATAGAACCCCTGGGACTACTTATGTGAAAGCTGTTACTGAACAGAGAATTAACAAATTAACACCTCCAGCACTTAAAGGAAAATCCAAATTAACTTCTCCAGAAGTGTAAGGCAGTCCCATCACTAAGTCACTGAAGGAATGACTTAGTGATGTAGTTGGGGATTAGAAATTCTTGCTTTTCCCAAGTTCTTTCATTCACAGCTTCAGTTTTCCCCAATGATGGCACAAGTACCGGACATTTAGACGTAACAATGTCAATACATTTACAGAAGTTAAAAGCAGCATCTAAGTAGTCTGTTTGCAAACAACCTGAATAGGAGATGGTTTTTCCCAGCCCATTTCAAAAATTCCCATCAGCAACTCCCGTTTCAAACAGTAATCTTCAAATTCATTTCCTTTTGTGGAGGTCACGTCCTGAATAATCAAAAAAATAAGCACATCCATAAGATCAGGTCATATAACCTGCAGCTGTAGATTGATTTGAAATTGCCTGTACAGGAAGAGCACAAATTACTATATGGGAGTTCCCATTAACTCATGCAACATCCTACAGTGGCAAAGGAAACATTTGCTTTCTCAGAGCCAAACACAGCTCCTGAGTGTACACAGGGACACCTTCCCCTCTGCCTCGCATGACACAGATACTGCTTGTGTCATGCTATAATACTAATAATGTAAAAAACCCACAGTGAACTCCATTCTTGAGTTTTCCAAGAGAACCATCACTCACAAGCAGCTGAGAACAAATTAATTCTTCATTTAAAACAGCAGGAGCTGAACTACTTTTTAGCCTTCATTCAGAACAAGTATTTTACCACTGCAAGCTCTCCCACAAGTTTTATTTAGTACTTATTCCTACAATTCAACCATCCTTACCGAAGTTTTGATTCTCAAATCCTTAGGAGGGAGTTTTAAAGTCTTCTTCCAGTCATCACCAGGTCTATAGCAAAATAAAATAAAAACATATTTTAAATAATTAATATTTTGATTGTGCATTTTATTTTCTTAGATATAGCGATGAACGTGCAATATTTTCACCTCCTTGAAGCTAAAGGCACCTACACATATGAGCTCAAGTCTTCTCTGAGCTAAGCAGCATGTAACAGGCAGAAAACTGTAAACAGACAAAATCAGCCGTCTGCCAAATCAATCTGTGAAATCTTTATCCAGTCATGATTCAAGTCCCATTTTTAGGGCACTGAATCTAAACAGTAGAACAGATTTTAAACTGAGCACTGACTTAGTCACATAACAGAAGCTGGCTATAAGAAATCCACACAAGAATATTTCATGACTTAAAATAAAAATTCTCTTGCCTAGGGAACGTCCGTTCTTAATCCCCAAGTAGCATGAAAAGGTGAAAAACACTTCTGGTGAAAAAAAACTAAGTAAGCAATCATTCAACTTGTTGATCAAATGTTGTTTGCTCTCAGTGAAATTTAGATACCCATCCTCTCTGAAAGCCACTGCAGAGCAGAGAGCAAGTCCTCCTCATCACCAGCCCCAGGAAGTTCTGTGTGAATTTTGATGAATTTAATTAACTACATTCATTAGAGTAGTCATGTAACACTTAAAAAAATAAAAAAAAAATAATAAAAAAAAAAAAGTGGGGTGGGAACAGGGCAAGTTAAGCAGATTTTAAGAACCTGAGTGTTCCATCACACTTTCTCTGAGGAGAGCTGGAACTTCCTTCACAAATAATTAAAAAATAAAAGCCAATTTTCAGGGGGAGGAGGATCCACGGATGAAAAAAAAGAAAAGCAACACATTACCATACCGTCCAAGTATTCTGCACCTTTTAGAAATTCCAAAACTAGCTGGATGGGAGCATGATATAACAGTGGGACTGTATCCTCTCAGATCAGGCTTTGATGAATTAAAGCCAGAGCATTACAATGAGGAGATAAGGTGCTACTATTTCAGATCAATGACAAAAGATAACTGACTTTAAAGCATTTCTCACCATGAGAAAGAAGTGCAACAAACGGAAAGGCATACACAAGTACACTGAGACCATGTGGCATTTCAGTCTTAAATGTCAGTTCAGTTCTTTCCTACTCTCATACTTCCCTCTTGCACCACTTCCAGCAAACAAAAACCACAGGATTCTAAAGCTGGGCTACCTGTGACAGTGGCTCACACTCAGAAAAGCACAGCATCAAGTTGGATTTTCACAACAATCACTGTTGGAGAGAAGCTTGCCCATGGGAATACAGCTTTCTTTCATAACATACATCACAGGACACTTCTTACCACCCATGTCACAAAACAACAGCAGACAGTATTTTCCAAATGGCAATCCAAGAATGCTTTCCCATACACGACTTCTAAATACTCCTTTTCTGGGAGCCGATACAAACACTTACTTAATAGCGGTGGTCATACTCTGTGCTTGCTGTTGAGTGCCATTATTGATTGTGCTGGCATTTTTCAGCTGGTTCATCTGTTGCTGAGTTTGTGTGCCTCCACCTCCTGGGCCCCCGCTGGGTTTTACAGGGCCTCTCAACTGCCCATTCTGACTGGATAGACCCATTATAACAGGGTTCTCTGTTCTGGCCGTGCTCATGCTTTTATCTTTAAAGATGTCTTTTTAGACTTCAAAACTTTGAAAGTCAGTACAGAAACTGTAATAACAGTTTATTAGACTCTCCAAAATGAAGAGATAAATAAGTCTTGCTCAATATATGAGTCCTTTATTGCAATGCAGGCAAGCACCTGTAAGTCACTCAAAAGTAAAGCAGTAACTTGCTCTGATGCACTGTGGAACAACTTTTTTTTAAAAAAAGCCCTCTATTGAAGTTGAGTTATATCAGAATTCACTTGCTTCAATCTGAAAGAGAAGCAGACAATAACAATTAGTATGGGGATTTTTGTCTACATAAATCACATCAGTTTATTTTTGTATTTTAAGAAAAATTTCTTCCCAGGCAGTGTGCAATAACAGTAATTGGTTTTTTGTTTCCTCAGTGATAATTATAAAGACATGCATCAAACTTTTTCTGCCTTTCTATAAAGTGTTGCCTAATACCTTCAACCACCAAAGAAAACCTCTCAAACAGCTGTAGTTTCAGCGACCTTCCATTACCTGCCCCTACTATCCCATAGTGTATTAACTGCTTTGAAGGCTCTTCAATTCCCCCACAAATTCCCTCACTTCTGGGATGCAGCCAACCAGCCCTAAAATCAGCCCTAAGATGTGAACAATAATGTTATGCATTAAGCTTGTGACAGGAAGCAAGACTACAAAATCAAGCGGACATTCCAGTTAGAACTGACAAACCCTTACACATTACTCCGATTGCCCTACTCGGTTTGAATGGAAAATACAAATTATGTAAATCTAAACCAACAGCTTACACTCCTCCAACCCAAAATGCTCGCTCTACCAGCTTACTCCCAGTTTTCAACCGGGTATTGATTTAAGGCTATTCAGAACAGTAAGGAAACAGCAACATTACGCTGAACTGAGAGCAGCTGCCTCTTTGAGTCCAAGTGACTGAGCTTGAACTGAGGCAGTAATGCTGCTGGTTATTCAGCTTCCTGCTCATGACCTTACCTTCCTGCTCTCAGCAACAACTTATGTGGTACTTGGAAGATAACATTTCATACACATGATTTAATACTGACTCTGTATGTAACAGAAAGTTTGCAAAACTCTGGAAAGACAAGTCTGCCCCTTACATAAAGCAAGCATGGATCAGAGCTAAAGACTCTTTAGGATAATACCAGGGAGAAAAAAGTCCCTAGTCCAAAATCTTTTGGAACAAAAAGTAGGCTTGCCTGTGCTTTCTTACCACAAAGCATCTACATCTTGGAAAAACACAAAGGGAAAAACTGCTTCCTAACCTCGGCATTCACAGCAAAATGCGTGTTTTCCCAGTGAATAAAAAGGCACACTGAAGACCATTCTAAGAGGGTTAAAAAAGGAATTCAGACTTCCCAGCTGTTTTCAAGTGTGTCAATTCTAGCTTCCAGCAAAATGTTAAAGTCTGCGATACTAGGATTTTCTGCTAGTGAACTTTCAAGGCATCTTCGAAGAGCTATTTCTCCTGGCCATTAATTTCGTAAAAACCAGGCGAGTTACGAAGGCAGTCAGAGACGCCAATGAGATCCGACTACCAACGTCGAAAAGTTCTCCAATAGTGTAGGAAATGAAGCCTCTCAGTCCCTTATGTCCTCACGCTCTTAACTATCCTTTAAAAGAACAGAAGTTAAAAATAACGTATAGCCTCACGGAACTCAAGAAATCGTCCCGTTCCGATAAAAGAGACGCCACCATTTCGCAAACCAACGGACTAAAAAACCAAAAAGGGCCGCCGTCGCATATTTCTGCTCTCCGGGCGCAGGCGGGAGGCCGGGGCAGCAGCTCCGGACCCTGTGCTTCCCGTAGGCTGGGCCCGGCACAAAAAGGGAGCTCTCGAGATGCTTAATGTGCCCGGTGAGCCCGGGCCGCACTGCGGAGCNAGGCCCGAGCTCCCGCCGTAGACCGCGAGGCACGGCACGCCGGCAGCGGCCCCCTCGCCCTGTTCCCACGGAGCCGTGCCCGCCCTGGCCCGTGCTCACCGCCACCAGCCGCGCTCCCCCTCGCCCAGGTACAAAATCCTCTCGCTCCCCCGGTGCCTTGTTATGGCGACTCGACGCTCCAAGATGGCGGCTTCCTCCTTCCTCCCGTGCGCCCTCCCCCTCCCGGCGGGCGGCACCGCCCCGGTCCACACGTACCACGTACGTACGTACGTACGTACGTACGTTCGACGTGCGCCACGCGTCACGTCCCACCCAGCGTGCTGTATCCACGTGACCGCGCTCGCAATGCTAGCCGCTCGTCCCGCCCCCTCAGACCCGGCCCTTCCCTTTGAACACTGTTTGGCAAGAAAACGCCTGGAAACGTAACGGGCTTCGCTATGTAGCCATTAAAACAGAGCAAACACAAACATAAGAATAAGGGACTGAGCCACAGCCTGTAGGAGTCGTAACCACCGATCGTGACAGGCTGGGAATTAGCATTTTTTTAGACAGCCGTTACTTAGCGATTTTGACAAACCGAGACACAATGGGAATGTAATGTTAGCAGTTACTACTTTGAAGACAAATTTTTCTTCAAATATTTTTCCAAAATACATGCAAAAGGACAAGGACCTTCCTGGATTTATCTAGTTCCTCACATCTACAGCTGTCTGTAGGTGCTTGTTTTTCCACCCTCAGCTGCAAAAGGCACAGGCTCCACCCTCCAGTTCTCGCTGACTGCGAACATTTCCTGACCTCTCAGTTTCCCGGGCCCAGGGGTACCGCACTCCTCACCTTACCCCTCAGCCCTTGCAGTATGGCCTTCAGGACAGGGCTTGCTCAGTCTGTGTTCTCCCTGTGAGTGAGGCACCGTGAGAGCTTCCTTACGGTTTTGCTGCCCTGCATCCTCTCAGTTTCAGGAGAAAGCGTGTCCAGAGGCTGATGAGCACATGCAGGTGCATACAAAGGGCCTCACGGCGTGGGAGGATAGCAACATCCTCGAGGCAGCAGGTACCCAACAAGTCGGGATCTAAGGAGTAGGAGGAGTGGTTGTAATCCAACAGTGCTCACGAGAATTAACACCACCTCCTTCTTCACCTGTCCAAAATCCCACCAGAATCCTTGCTGATAGAGAGAGCTTGGTGCAGCTGTACTTAGACAAGAGGAGGACAAGAACTGGCCTTGTCAAACCACCTCAGATCCTTGCAGAGGATAAGCTTGCTGCCAAAATGCCAGCTGCAATGCCATCCTACTTGGCTGACCCAGACCGAGGCATTGTCATTGTGAGTCTACCGCTGTGACATCACTGAACAAAATGCCCATTTCCCCGAGCAGAGAAAATCTTGATTTCCCATCTTGATTATCCTTTGCTACCCTCTTGAAGTCAAGCTGCCCAGTCCCTGCTAGTCCTGCTCTAGACTTGCAGAGCAGCTGCCAAGGCCTTGCTGTCCTGTGCAAGGCACCTCACATTCCCCCAAGCCCAGATGGGGAGCAGGGGTGAAGCAGCAGCACGAGAAGGAGCAGAAGACAACCACAAATCACTGAGGTTAAAGCATGCAGGAGGACCCCAAGGCAGAGGGTGATGACCGTACAGATCATACCCATGCTTCAAAGTCCTGCACATCTGGAGATGTGCCTGGATCCAGGAGGTTTCTGGTAAGGGTAGTCCTTGGCACAGAGCTTTTCAAAGCCTTTCAGACCACCTGGAACAAGGACAGTTGTGGGCAAGAGGCATGAAGGTTGATAGGGAAGACCTAAGGATGTTCTGGATCTTCTGTTGTATAGACCAAAAGAATATGGACTCTTCAAACTGTACTTTAAAAATCAACTTACAACACTCATAAAAAGATGATAAAGTTGGATGCTAATCTTTACATCAATCAGGCCACTCTATGCCTGGAGCTCATTTGCCTTGCAAATACTCTATTGTTACATTCTGTGTCCCTCTCTACTCAAATTATTAACTCCACCCCAGAAAAGAACTTTTATAGAAATTTCTGCAGGAGAGACGGATCTTGCCCGTCAAACCATGGGGCCTGTCAGCTACTCGTCAGAGACCTATGACTTGGTGAGTTGGGCTTGGCTTTGCTTGGTAACAGGGACGGCAGATAGAGCTGGGGTGGGCTGAAAGGCCGGGTTTATGGCCATCCATCTTGTAACCCTCCTGTTGGCAGAGGCAGAGCTTAAGCCCTTTCTTATGCCAGCATAATCAGTCCTTGCATCCCTTAAGTCCAGACTTGACCACAAGTACAAGGCTGTTGCTTGAGACAGCAGAGAGCCAGCATAGTGTGGCTACAGCCACCATCATCCAGGGAAGCTTTCCTTTGGGGAAAGCTGCCTAGATACCAGGACCTCTGCTGGCAAGCACTAAGCCTGAGTACTGTTGTTGCATGAAGACACAGACCAGAGTCTCTGCAAAGGGCCAGGTGACTGACTTGGAGAGTCACCTCCAATGGTCCCTTCCTGTGCTGCCAGCCTGTCCCAGCCTCTGCTCCCTGCAGACCTGCTTTCTGCACAGCCATTAATTAGCACAATGCAGGCATAAAACATTTAATCTGAGCCAGGCACCTTTTGCACCAGCCTTCAGTGGTATAAATGGTGTACACAGTGTGCAAAGCTCTGTACACCTTATCTGGTCTCCTTACACAACTGGAATACAAACCCAGTCTTCTCTCTCCATATGTAGAAACCCTTGGTATGACCACACTGCTGGCTTGCTCCTCATACAGGCTTCCATACATATGGCTCCACATACATACAGGCTCCATATATGCTCTGCTGAAAGGGGAATATGCAGTATATTTACAAGAGGAGAGTTTTAAAGAGTGGAAGATAAATTGCAAGTATGTCTTCTAGCAAGGAGTGATGACACTAGGTATTCTACCTCACAGTTCTCTTCCCAGTCTTTACAAGTGAAAAAGAGCAGCTGCACCTTTTAGAGTATGTTGTGCTATCCAATGGAAAGGACACAGCAGCATTATCATTACCCTGGTTTTCAAATATTGCATCTCAGAATTTTTTTTTTTACTACAGTGGCTCCCTGCAGCAGACCTCAGGATTAGTTAGTCCAAGAAGAGAAATGTTGGATTCAATTGTTACCAAATTTTCCGTTCCTCCTTTTTCCTACACACCAAGGAAGAGCAAGGAGATGGGGGAGCAAGCCCTACCCTCCTTATTTCTTTTCTGATTCATCCAGTATAAAAATTCGTTGCAAATGGTAATCATTCCTTTAAAACTTTTTTGGAGAAAGACACTTCCTTCCCTGACCTCTGTTGAAGCTCAGCAGCAGCGCTAAAATTTGCTGAGAGGTTAAAACCAAACTCAAACCTTTTCCACATCCTTTTCTTTGCATATAAAACTTCCCATAATCCTCAGTCTAGTGATTTCATCTCTGCTGTGAATTCTTTTACATCATAAAGGAGACCCCATGTGAGAGGGGGGAGGAGAGTTGGGAGGGCTGATTTTAGGACTAAATGCCCACAGTCAGGTGCCACAGCAGGAAGAGTTTTAGACCTTTTCTCAGACTTCTGCAGTTGGCAGTTTGACATATGTTGTTTCCCACCTCTGTCTCCTGGCAGCTTCCCAGATTTGGCTCCCTCCGTGGAACAGGGAGGCTGCAGATATCACATGACCATCACTGTATTTGCTTTGGTGGTGCCATATGTTGCTTTACTTATAACTCAATGCTTGTAGCAGCAACCTACCCACAGAGATTTGGAAAAAAAAAAGGCCTCCAAAGTGTCTTGTCAAAGTGGCAACACAACCCCTGCCTTGTGCAGAGAGGACTGTTTAATCAATTGAGCAATTATGGAAAGATAAATGATGAGAACATTTGCAGCAAAAGGGCATTTATTTCAGTATTACACAGTGAATACAGTGAGGGCCTCACCTAAATTTTGATACCGTATGAGACCATTTGACTGTAACCTTGCAGAAAAGTACCATGCCCAAAATGATAACCCCGTTTCTTCATAGCAAAAATGCTTTGCCCGCTAACATTCCTCAGCTGCAGACTAAACAACCAAAAGAAACCAGTTGCAGAAGAACCACTGAGATCTACACCAGGTTCCCTGAGGTTCCTCAGACCAGTTTTCATTGCAGTGGGACCAACACAACTCAAGAGCATAAAGGCAGCTACACTGCAGTAACATGGTATTTCCACAGGCCTTGATCTTATTCCTGGATTTCCCAGGTTCAGCCCCTGGAGAAGTCACGAGCACAACCTCCATCAGTAGATTTTACTGATGTGGGCAATTACAGTTATAAGGTTTTGGAATGAAATGTGCTGCTCCCAGCCCTGGCATTAACTAGAAGGGAATGATTCACATGGAAAATCTGTAACAGTGCACAAGCTGCTTCTCTTCTGCAGCCAAATATTTTGGTCACTGACAGTTGTGGGGAACTGAGAAAAATAGCTGACACACAGAGACCTGAATAACTCTGTGATGCAGGTTATAGGGGGTAAACGGATCCCTGAATAAAAAGCACACAGGAATGGCTTTACCAGGCATGCACTTGACTGCTCTATTACAGAGACACCACTTTTTTTCCCACATCCAAATCTGCTGCAATTGTCATGCAGGAGACTTGTACAAAGGTCCCTCTGCATGCACACTGCTGACTTATCCCATCCTAGATCAGGCAGCCACCCACTTCCAGTCCTAGAATTGCAGCAGAGTCCCCAGAAACCTCAGTTTGTCATATTCAGTGCATCTCTTGCATCTCTCATCCTTGCCCTTCCTGTCTCAGCCCAGACTCTGATTTTTCCATCCTCTTTTATTTGTCTCCAACTCATCTCTGTCCGTTCCTACCCACATGTGCTGCTCTGCTCAGAGATGCAGGCGAGGGCGATTCAAGCACAGCTCTGCACACACCTCCCCTACCCACAGCAAGTGGTTTACAGTAAGAGCCCTCGCTACCTGCTACCATCAGCAATCAGATGGTGTCTGATAGTGGCACTCAGTCTCTGCATTTCCGGCTCCAAATACAAGGTGATGCTGGAAACTGGTCAGCAGCAAAGCCACTGAACACTGCCCAAGCTGCCCATCCACTGCCATCAATGGTGCTGGCATGACTCCAAGGTCAGACTGACATTCCAGCCAGCAAAGCCGGCCCATTTTCCGTCATTTTTGCCTTCAAAGCTGGAATTGTCCGACCTTTTCCCAGTGAAATTTCTCATTCCAACATACAGTCTGTTTGGGGCTTTCAGCACAGTCACCTCCACAGCCTGAGCAGCCTGGTTTGGTCACTACACCAAATTGCAAAGGTTTTTAGGTTGTTTTATTTTGTTTTTTCTCAGGGAGGTTCACGGTTCTGGCCTTGGCCAACATCACAGATTTCTATGTGTGTTGGTAATCCCTCATGAAAGGTCTGGGTACAGAGTAGGCAGGAAATACTTTCAAGCTGGAGAGGAAAATAACTGGGAGAGATTTCTTAAGGCTTTTGTCTTTTGCAGCAATCTCCAAAATCACACCCTAAACCAGAAAAATAAAAGTTCTTTGTTAATACAAAATGCTTCTCACCAAAGGTTTGCAGCCCCCAGTTACATTAGCAAGAGCTGGGCAGGGTTATTCCACACTTTTCCCAAGGACTCATTCACCCTTGGGGTGAATTCACCATCCACTGCTTGGGGACTGCCTGCACTAGCTGTCTCCGCTAAGAGTTTGGTAATGCTCCATTGGCTTATGCCCCAATCAGCATACCCAGGCTCCTCTTGGAACCATGCAGATAGTTTCAGCATCAGAGGAGTTTAGATAAGCCCTGCTGCTGCCAAGTGACCTCTTTACCCCCCACAGTCATGTGCAGAGTCACCCAGTGCATCACCCAGGGAAAGCTTCCTGAGGGAGAAGAAACATAAATCACCTAGCTAGGCACAGCACAAAACTCCAGGCTGGTCACAGTAATTTTGCTTAGTAGCCCATTGGGTGAGCAAAAAACCCCAAAAGCACTGTGTAAAGCAGGGCTGGTATTTTTGGACAGGAACTTTGGCTGATGAGGGAAGGGACAGCAGGTGCAAATGGCTGCAGCTGGCAGTGAAAGGTATGAAAGCATTAGCAGAGACTTCCGCTGTGGTCAACACTGAAGTCTCATCAGCTCAGGTCTCCAGAGAGGGTGTGGGTGGGGCATCTCAGGGTGACTGCTGCCGAGCTCTTCCCAGTTGTCACTAACATTCAGTTTGCCACAAGCCTCCTCCACTGTTTTTTGTGCAAGGCCAGCTGAAGCACGACCACCAGGGAGCTCATCCTGAGTAGAATTCCAGTTTTCCAGCACTTGAGACTTGCCCACAGCCTGAATACAAGCTGGTCAAGAAGATACAGCAAGCCAAGGGCAAATCACATCTGCAGCGGCTCTATTGCGCTTCCCTTGCTGGGGGAAGCCTGGGGTCTGAGTGTTGTTCTCCCTTCCCTTTCCTGCTCTGACTGCAATTAATTCAGAACTGAAAGGTTTATCAACAGAATAGATCTCTCTCTCCATCATCTATTCCTATCGCTATAGCACCTCAGAGGCTTTCCTCCCATTGTGTCGAACACCTACCCCACACCTTCCTCTGCGTGTGTGGAAAGCAATCTCCAAGGACAGCTGCTGCTGACCCCACCTCTCCTTGCTCTATCATAGGCAGCTCTCAGGCTTCTGAGGAGAAGAAAGGGACAGGTTCATTGCACAGAATTTGAGGTACAGATGTGCGGTGTGGTGAATCCTACCACTTTTATACCTGACAACAGGCAGCAGGCAGGATAGAAGTGGTCCCTATCAGAAATGGGTGGGAAAAATTGGGAAAGCTGGTAGAGGAGGGTTCCATTCTATGTGAGAAAGCAAATTCACCAGCAGGTAACTTGGCAAGAACTAGAAGATGAAAGTGATCATCTGGTTCAACACCAAAACATCCCCAAATACTCCAGTTAAAGATTACAGACTGAGCAGCCCTCGCTGTCATAGATGGAGAAAACTTGCTCCACCTCCTGCTGCACCTCCTGGCAGTGGAGGGGCCTTCAACATAATCACCTTCAGAAAGCATCTCCTCCTGATGCAGGTGGGCTGCAGGACATGGGAGTGCTCTGCTCTAGGTCTGTCAAGTGCCACTGAGGGACTGGGTTCTTGTATTCAGAAACTCCCCTCCATTAACAAGACTCTTTCTGTTCCCTAGAGCCAGGTGGAGCTGAGTGGCTACTATGAAGCTGAGAACACCACCCCTTCTTTGGAGGGCTACTTTTGCTTTGACCCAGCCTCATCTGTGGTTGGCAATCAGGGAGACCCCTTCAGAAAGGTCTTCATGCCCCTCATCTATCTGCTGATGTTTGTGTTGGGGACTCTGGGCAATGCCCTGGTCCTGGTCATTTTAGAGAGGTTTAAGCGGTCACGGACCACCACAGAAAATTTTCTTTTCCACCTCACCCTGGCCAACCTGGCACTGCTGCTCACCTTCCCATTCAGTGTCGTGGAAAGCTTGGCTGGGTGGGTATTCGGAAAGTTCCTCTGCAAGATACTCAGTGCTGTCCACAAGATCAATTTCTACTGCAGTAGCATGCTGCTGGGGTGCATTGCGGTGGACCGCTACCTGGCCATTGTCTATGCAATCCACACCTACCGCAAACGAAGAGCTCGCTCCATCCACCTCACTTGCACAGCTGTCTGGCTCTGCTCATTGCTTCTGACTTTACCCGATCTCATCTTCATGGAAGTCTGGACAGATGACAGCAACCACAGCATTTGCTATTTTCCAGAGGTTGGAATTGATGGAAACAACGCGTGGCTGGCAACCCGTTTCCTCTACCACACCGTGGGCTTCTTTGTGCCTCTGCTGGTCATGTGTTACTGCTACATGGCCATCATCCGGGCACTGTGTCGGTCCCAGCGCCTGCAGAGGCAAAAAGCTGTCCGTGTGGCCATCCTGGTCACAGGCATCTTCCTCCTCTGCTGGAGCCCATACCACATTGTCATCTTCCTGAACACACTTACCAAGCTAGAAGCATTCACCAAGAACTGCCTCCTGGAAGACCAGCTGGACACAGCCATCATGGTGACAGAGGCCATTGGCTTCACACACTGCTGCCTCAATCCCATCCTCTATGCCTTTATTGGGGTCAAGTTCCGTAACGACTTCTTCCGGATCCTGCAGGAGCTTGGCTGCATTAGCCAGGACACCCTGCATGAGATCCTGAAGGTGCCAAGGAAGGGTAGTGGGATAGAGTCTGACAACACCACCTCCATCTCCACTTTCTAGCTGGGAAAATCTGTCTGTAGGGCAGCACTGGCCCGGGGCTTTCTTTCCCAGCGGCACATTTGCTGTGTACAAGTTTCACAAGCATCCCCACAGCTTTCTTCACTCCTCAGGAAACAGGTCCAATAGCTGCCGAACACCCAAATCCCATCAGACACCTTGCTTGGCTCTTCCTGGTTCTCATACTTGTAGAGATAGCTGGTAGCTGTTGGTGAATGCTGGCTGTCTGGTGGTCACTCTTGTGGGGCTGGATGAACTTGAGTGGGTTGAACCTGACATTCCCACCTCTCCCTCGAAAAATTGACTGCAGGCATCTTGTGCACACAGCCAGGCACAGGACTGGAGTGCCAGGGTTAAGGAAAAAAGTACAGCCAAGTAAATGAGTCATGTCAGTAAGCAGGTCTCCATTTCACTAGCTCAGATTGGTACAGACATGCTCAAAGGAAGCTGTGGGACTCAGTGGCCATAGCAACTGGAGAGATGCAGGTAGGGGGCTGCAAAGCTCAATCCAATAGCATGGGCATACAGTGCCGGACACTTTGACTGCAACATTGTCCTTTTGCTGTGACATCCCCCCTGCCAGCCATAACACATCTTCCCAACCCAGCTCATGCCAGGAGGTCCTCCCACAGACTGATTTGACTGTCACAGACTCCTTTCCTAACACCAGTTGCATCCTTCCCCACTAATTTGATCAGTTGTACTGCTGTTATGATCTCCTGTGGGTGGCTGCTGAACTGAATGCCTTGACTATGCAAAAGTCTTCCTTTTAGAAAGAAGAAAGAACTGGAAGAACACCGTCTGATGAGATGGCTTCTGTCTTGTGACTGCACACAGGGAAGAGAAACCACACAGCTTTGTAAGGCCGATGGTATAACTTTTTTTTTGGCAGCTAGTTGTATGGCTATTTATCAGTTCTGAGAGCAAGGAGACCCAATGCCCCAGAGTAAGGGAAAGAGCTTGTTTGCACAATATCTCTATTTTTAGCAAGGCTAGAGGAAATGTGGCATTTTGCTTTGCACTATGCTTTCTGATATTTTTCCTCCATCTGCACCTACAGGGCTTTCAGAGCTTAAATGCATCCAGATGTACAGAGGACAAACCTGGGTGGTGATCTTGCCCTGAACTGCAGGTGTGCAGAAACTGCTCAGATCACGGCAGCTTGATGATAATTTGGTTCAAAATAAGACTTTAAAAGCAGGTTTCCCTATCATTAATTCTTACACTGCAAACTGGTGTGAGGGAAAGCCCCAGCAGACTCAAGACAGCCTGCTGCTACCTAGGAGGTCTTGTCACAGTTTAATATGGCAGCAGACCCACAACACTTCTCCATGACATTTCTGTACCTAAAGAGTGCTGTGGCCTGAATTGTAGGAGAGCCATACATACCAATGTCACATGAGCACGACCCTCCTCATAAGCACACTTTAAAGTCTGCTCCACCCTTCCCTACACATTTTAAGCAATGTTAGTTCTCCTGTGGCAGCAGGAATTTTGTGCTAGCCTCACTTCTGAAGTTTCTCCCACTAGCAGAGAGCTCAGTCCCAGGTGAACTTCACGGTACTTAAGAGCCCTGCTAAAAAGACTAGCCAGAATGGAAGGGGCCACATTTCAGCCTGACTCAGGCAGAGATCTCTGTAGCTTGACCTTATATTGTGACTTGAAGAACAAGCTCACCTTAGTATAAGACAGTCCACCATTTCCTGCAGCACCACATTTTCAAAGATGAAACTTTCAAGTAATAGAGACTGTGGTTGTTCAGGCACATACATGCAGCAGAAGGCAAGAGAAGGGCAAGTCTCTTAAGCCTGCACTTGTGTTCTCCACAGTTGTACCAGTGAGAAAACCCATTGCAGATGCATTGTAAACACCTCCCTAGCAGGTTATGGTGACAACCGTGTTTCCACATTAAAATGTTATTGAAAAAATAATAGTCGAAGTGTAAAATTCTTACAGTGGTCACAAGTAAAAAGAAAATCTACACTCAAATGAGAGTGAACAGACTACACATCTACTGTTAATATAGCTTTTAGCATTGGTCTGTACAAACCTTCAGGAAGTTTTGAGGTAAGCTGTAATAAACAGGTGAATAAAACACCATCCTCTCATGTATAGTGCTTGTAAGCATTTGTCTGTAACTGTGTCACTTCATTCAAGAGAAACACATCAGAGCACTAAGTGGGCAGATGGCACCTTTCTGACGAGTTCTGCTCAAAGGATTCAGAGGAGCACCTTGCTCATCAGATTCCCCTTCACCAGTGCTACAGAAGGCTCTGCTGTGTTCAGTCAGTCCAGACCTACATTATCTATCTGCTTTAGGGAGCCCCTTCCACTAACTGCAGCTTCCACTAACTCCTGCCCCAGTTTTACAGCAGCTGCTAACCTGACTGGAAAGCTGCCCTTACACCTACATTTCGCTCAGACAGCCTGGAAACGGCTTGGCTCAGAGCTGGCAGACCTTCCCCAAAGAGTTTCCATTGTTCCTCCCACAGCTGCCTGCAGCCAACCTGCTGAATGGTGACAAGGAGAAAGCAAGAGGAACTTTTCCTTCACTGCAGAGGAAGCTCTGCTTTCCACTCAACAAAAGCCTTGCTGTCTCCTCAAGGTTTGAATGGCTGTCACACCTTGCCCCAGAGTGGGCTTCCCTGTTAAGAACTCACACTGCCAGCCACCCCTGCAGCCCTCAGGCAGACCTTCAGCCTCCCCTATGGAGCTCTACTCAGCCTCTATCCCACGGCTACCAAGTGAGGCAGATGCACTCTGCCCACCCAAGCCACTGGGAAGGGGAACTGAGCCAAAGGGAGCTCCAAGGTGGCTCCTGCAGAAAGTAGGGAGATGGTGTGTGGGAAGGCAATGTCACCACCATGCACAGCACACCCTCTGTACCTCACAGTCCAGTTCTGGACTGTGCTCCAGAAACAGCGTTCCAGCAGGCAAAGCAGAGAAAGCCCTGGTACCTGATGAAGACAACCCCAAAGATGGGAACACGAAGACCCTCACAACAGCACACTGCTCTCCATTTCCTGCAGGGCAACCAAGTCTCCCAGGAGACAGAGCTAGGGTTCCAGCAGAGCATCCTGCTACACACACACCGTGATCACAGGGCCGTGGCAGGCAGTGGAGCATGCATGGGTGAGTGCAAGTAAGAGAACGCATGAATGAACATGTGCCTGGGAGTGCTGCAGAAAAGGGGCTCCCCCAATGTCCACACAATCCTTCCAGCACCTCTTGCACTCGCTGTCTCCGCTGCAGTCCTGTGGAAAATCATGTGGAAAAAGGCACAGGGTCAGGTCTTGAAATTTGTCTTTTTAATAAAAAGGCACCTATAAAACAGGTCAATACATTACAGGCAGCACAGATACCCAAAAACAAGCCTAAAAATTGTTTCAAATAAAAACCAATAAGATGTCTTCACATATTGTATTTATATATTTATATTTATATATATATTTATATAATGGTACAAAATGACTGGGGAAGTTTCTCCATGGGATGACAGAGAACAGGTCAGTCAACTTTACTTCAATGTGAAAGCTAATTTCTGGTGTGTGATTATCTGACATACTGGAAGATGCAGTTTCCCAGCATTCTTTTTTTTGGAGCTGGAAAAACATGGCAAAATCATGGCTAAAAGATGGGCAAACCTTCTACTGTGATTATGTGGAGTCAGTACACAGAACTCAAGGTGAGGAGCTGAGCAATAAACTACAAGACACAAGACGAGACACAGGTCACGGCAGCGGGCAACCAGTTGATGGCAAACCTTGCCTGTGTCTAACAAGGACTGGCTGTCATTGAGCCTCCAAAGGAACTCCTGCCACATTGCTGTTCACAGGTATCGTTGGGAGCAGCGCTCGGGGCACAGGGGTGTTAGGCAGCATTTCTTCTCCCCATTGTTCAGCCATCACAGTGGTAGGGGTAGGGCTGGCTCCAGGGCACTGGGATTTTGCAGAAGAGCACCAGCTGCTGCTCCAGAGTCCTCAGCTCTGATCTAGCATGAGGATTTCCCTTTTGTATCCAGGGCTGCTGAGTCAAAAGGCTTAGCTTCTTACTTGTCACTGAAGGACAGGTCTTCCTTCTGTTGCCAGGCAGAAATAGCATCACACTGCCATGTCCCTGTGAGCACCAGTCTCCTGAGCGCGGCATGGCACGTGCCACAGGCCTGCAGGCTCCTGCTGATACAAGGACAATGGCTGCTAACAGAGTGAGGACTGCAAGCCCCAGGCAACTTCTGTGTTGGGCTGGGCAAAAGGGACAACAGGGAAAGTACAAAGACATGGAGATCTCAACCAGGCTAAAACAACAGCTATCTACAACAAAAAAACTTCCATATAGAAAATGTTATGGCTTCAAATTAGCCAAGACTTGCTGGTGGGTGATGAACAAAGTTTGAGACTGTAATTGGTATTTGGATGTTTACGAGAAGCTACTAGCAGCCAGCATCCTGAAGTGCAGCTAAGAGAAGCTACAGCCTTTCAGGCAAGTCAAGCTTAGAAACAGCTACGTCTGTTTGAGCCACATCCTCCTGCATCAAACACACACTGAAAGGATTGAGAATCCAACCAGCTAACATGCCAAGTCCAAAGCCTGGGCTGAAGATTATTCTTCTGCTCCAACTGCCACAGCAGGAAGGAGAACTTCTCATGATTGTTCCTGGTTTACCACCTCAAAAAATGTTACTTGCTCACATTGGAGACAACAAACCCCTACAATGCAGGAGACTAGAGCAAGAGCTTTCCTCAGATCCAAACCCAGTCTTCTCATCCAGCACTGTTCACTACAAAATGCCCCAAAAGCTTCAATGCATTCCTAACTAGACTTTATGATTCCATCATCTCACAGATTGGATCAAGACAGCTGACACTGCAATACCCACCAGCCTTTCCAAACAGCTTGCAACCTAGTAAAAAGTGTTACTGTTCATTCACTACAAAGGGCAGTCTCTCTTTCCAAAGCCCTCTCCTCCCTGCAACACCAAGCTGGGAAAGGTGAGCTCTGTTGTAAGAGAGGTAGTGTGTTTAGTCTGGCTCTACAGAGATAATCCACCAAGAAGTGTTCCTCCAGCAATTGTGTGCTCCAGGTTCACCCCTGGATGCTAGAATTGCAAGTCCCCAAAGAGGTCCAGAGATACTGCGATGTGTGCAGAAATGTATGTGCATCATGCCCCATTCCCCTCTGTGAAAAAACATGGGGAAGACCATCAGGGCTGCATGCAGGAAGACCTTATGGAGTACAGGATGGAGAGGGTGGAATGCATCCAGAAAAAACAGAGTTGTCCAAAGGGCAACTTCTGGCCAGCCTAGGAATTAGAGACTGGCGCTCAACGTTGGCCGCTTCTGTCTGAAGCACAGGATGGCCATGCTGCTGACACTGAATGCTGAGGTAGAGTATTGCACTCAGGGACAGGTCCTCTTCCAGAGCTGGACCTCTCCTGTGCCACAGGGCAGGGCTGCTGACAGTAGCTCAGGTTATGATGGAGTGAAGACTGCCTGAAAAATTCTACAGATGAAGGACTGACAAGCACAAGGAAAACCTGGGAAAGCATTCATTGGCGGGGGAGTGTGACACAGTGGTGAAGGGTAATGGATGGCTAAGAGACTGGTGTAGGAAGGCTGCAGAAGATCAGGGTTCCCAGATAGCCTCTCCTGGAAGCACTGGAATGCATCACCTCACTCATCTAAAAGCCCATCTGTCCCTACACACCACAACACCTTGCCTACAGGAGACACAGCATGAAGGGAAGAGAAGAGAGTAGACATGACAGAGCTGGTTAAGACCTTCAGGTCCAGCATGTTAACATCTGCAAAGCCCAGATTCTTGATGCTTCTCCAGCTGAAGGGCCAGCATCCTTCCCATCCCAGAGAGCAGCAACAGCCGCATCCTGTAAAGCTATGGTCTCTGCCCTGCCAGACAAGCACCTCTCCAGTAGCATTTCACTGGGCTACAGCTCGCCCTGCCCCCACCCCCACAGTGGCCCTTGGTCAGTGGTTATGTCTGTGTACTCGGCATAGTATCCATGTACCCACAGGACCTGAGATCTGCATGACACTGCACCACCCCCTCTCCCACACATGCAAAACCTTTCAGATGCGTGAACACAGGTCTGACAGAGTCACTCTATAATGGGATCTCTTAACACCCTGTGCACCCTGGGGATCCTCCTGCCTCCCTCAAGGAGAGATTTCAATCCTTGTACACTGTTGCCTTTAGCATGTTTTTTTTCTTTCTGTTTTTTAAAACATGTTTTGAGGCTTCTATTAAAACACAGAAATACAGAACAATTAAAAACCAGCACAAATTTTGCCTTTCCCAGCGACCTATTTACAGCTAGTTCCAAAAACCCTCTTGCACATTTTGGTTGCTTAAAAACGAAGGACAAAAAAAATAGAGAGGAAAAAAAGGGCAAGGAAAACACTTGACTGAAGAAAACCATAAGTGAAAACTTTACAAACTGCCACAAGGTCTGGACGTCCCTGGTCACCACGCAGGGTTCAAAGTAACAGCCCCACTCCCAGCCTCTCCACCCTCCCCTTCCCCAAAAAAGAACGGAAAAAGAAACCCAATTCACATCAAGTTTACTGCACATCTGGTTTGCTGTGTAGAGGCGAATCCGATATGAAAAGCATCCCACATGGCGTCCTCCGCTGGCATTGGCCCCCAACCCGCCCCCACAGAAAGGTTTAAAAATGTTTGTAGGGGCAGCCCCATCCCCTCCCCAGCCCTGAGCACCAGTCAGGGTTAAAAAGGCAAGTTCGCCATGTTCCCAGGCCCGGGGATGTAACTCATCTGGCTGTCCAGGGAGACACTCCTCTGCCTCATCTGGTGCGTGACCATGAGGTTCTGCTGAGGCGGGGGCCCCATGAGAGAGCCCTGAGGTGACATCATATGTCCTGTCTGGGCATACATCTCTCCCGACACTGACATGCTTCTCTGCTTGGCCTGCATCAGCATGAAATTCTGCTGGGCCATCAGGCTCTGCTGCGGAGACATCATGCCTTGGTGCATGCTGTTGCCCATCATGCCTTGCTGGGGCGGTATGCCTGTCCTGCCCAGCATGGGCACTTGTCCAGGATGGCACATGGGCATGCTGAGTCCCCTCTGCATGCCCTGCT